TGCCGAGCGGGGTTCCCTCCCTCTTAGAGGAACTGTGAACGTCTGAGCTCCCTGCCCTCCCTTTCCTTCCTGTGCGGCTGAAGTACTCTCTTTTCGGCTGGCCACCCTGCTTTCTGGGGGGAACCACACTGCTGGGGGTGGGAGGAATGAAACTTATTCAGTTCTTGGCAATCCTTTTAGGTTTAAGTGGCAAGACAGTGCTGTATTAGCAGTGCTGTCTTTATTTGGCCAAGATTTGCTTTAGAATGAAGTTTACCATATAAAAAATGTTTAGGCTGCACAGACCAGAGAATTATTGTAGTTCCAAAGTTTGATAGAGCAAGAAATAAGGTTCATGGGGAGTCTTATAACCATGAGGCAAGTACCCAGAGAGGTCAGTATCGCTCACTCAGCAAACCCCGACTCCCTGCTCTGATTCCATGTCTGTAAATCCTAGTACAGCCTCTGGGCCTTTGGGTAAGGGAGTCAGGAATAAGGTCATTGGTGCTTTCTGTTACTCACACACTCCTACAGTGTTTAACCCCAGTCTGGCCAGAGGCTTTAATCAAGGCGCTATGGAGATTAAGACATCCCACCCAAGTCGATGTGAAAATCTGTGCTTACCACAGTCCAAAGTTTGTACATTTTTAGTAGATGAAAAAGCATAATGACATTTGATTCCTTTTCACTATATATGCAAATGTCCCAAGTATTCCTAAAGCCGTTCATATGACTTTGGATTAAAACAAAAACAAAGAAACAGCAAAACTTCCACCTTGAAGTAGAAGCAGCTTGGTTTCTGAAGTATGCGTATGTTTCCCTTGGCTAATTGTTTCTCTAGTAATAATAAGACTTTAAATTTTAGAGACATTTCTCCCTTCTTTTTCTGCACACTACAAGAAACCAGAAAACTGTGGAAGGAGGAAGGAAGAGAAATACACGAGTGATAACAGGTTTTAAGTCCAATGTTTCTGGACTACTTCTTTGGCTTGGAAAGTACTCAGAGTACCTATGTGATTGAAAGCATTGCCTGCACTACTACAACCTGATGCTTTAAAAGAAAAGCAAAAAGGCCATGTTTAGGGAACTTACGTGGTTTATGAGCCAGCTCGGAAATGGACTTGGTGTTTTACACGGTGTGCCGCTGTTCCAGGCTGCTTTCATATTTTATACGGTGTGCTTTTAGGCCTTTGATCATTTTTGTTTTGATGAGCTTTGTAAGGATTTAAAAGGTTTCTTGAAAACATTAATAGGCCTTTACTATTCCAAGAATTTTGTATAACGTGAATCAAATGCACTCTGCTCCCAGGTCCTCAGACCCTTAAAGGTTATCAGAGTCGCTTGTTTGTGTGTTCTTGTATTTGTCCCGAGGTTGTGTTTATTGTACCTAGATTGTTCTAGGCAAGGAAAAAAAAAACCTCTTTTAGAATTTTCAATCAATACAGATAAATACGCCACCATGCAGAGGACTGTACAAAAGTCAATTGAGTGCATTGTTTTCAACTCAAAGTACAGGACAAAGAATCCCATTTTCTTTTTAGTAATTATTTTACCTTTCCCAGTTGGGAATTGCAAGGCTATTAAAATAATAGCCGAGGGCATTTTAGATAGGATGCATTTACATGCTAGGAAAGTGTGTTTGTGTTTTCTTGTTGGAAATTTTTGTTTTAATTGATTAATTTGTTCCTATTAATATTTATGAATCTTAATACACAATGACTATTCAAGAAGCCAAAGATAGACCACTTTCCTAAGAGTCCATCCAGAAGAACAACCTATCCGAAGCAGCATTCTGTAAAAGCATCCCAGTTTGCCAAGGTCTCCAAACCTTCACTCATGATATTAATGTTCCACTCCTAAACACAATTCTGAGCAGATAACCCCCAGTGAGTGGGTAACACCAGTAAGAGAGTAACCCTTAGTGAGTGGGTAACCCCAGTGAGTGGGTAACCCTCAGTGAGTGGGTAACCCCCAGTAAGTGGGTAACCCCTAGTGAGTGGGTAACCCCCACCGAGCAGGTAATCCCTAGTGAGTAGGTAACCCTCAGTGAGTGGGTGACAGGAGCTCTTGGCCTAAGCATATAGCATATTTATAGTACCAAATTGTTAAAAACTACTCAAAGGCACAATGACAAGAAAAACTTTAAGTTATGCCATGTATATTTAGCAAAATTTCTCAATAAAATAAATTTAGAGAACTCAAATGTTTTGCAACAATGCTATGTAAGAAAGAAGAAATATAAAATTTTATCTAGAGAGATTATGCCTTACTTTAAAATAGAGCAAACCCCCATCTAGTTGGAAGAATTAATATTCAAATCCTGAAATAATAATATTTTGCTTTATAAAATTAAAATATTTTATGCTTCCTGATGTACATGCATCATTTTGAAATGGAAAAAGTAAAAGCCCAAAATTAATAAACTTTACTGTGATCACAATGTGACATTCCAGTATCTGTTCCCAGCACTGAGGCAACAAGTTACTTTTAATATCCTGTCTTCAAGTGCTTTGTCTCACCTCATTCCATGCCCACGAGCACATCAGCCAGAAGAAGGAAGCCTGATGGTTTCTGTTCCCACCTGTGTGACTTCGGGCTCAGTCTGCAATTCCATTCTACTTGGAAGTTCTGCTAAAGGCAGCTGGGTCCCCTCCCCATTCAAGAAGGCTTCCTTCAGCCACCAGGCCAGCTGTCACCCTCCCCTCCCACTTGACCAGCATAAATCTGTCTCTGTAAGATACTTCTATAGAGTTCAGCTGGATAAGGTACAATGACAAGAGAACTATTAAATTATGCCGCATACAATTAATGAAATTTCTTATTTAAAAGAATCTCTGGTGCTATGTGAAGTGGTTTGAGCTAGTGCTATGTGAGAAGGAAGGATTATATATTTTATATTTTTCCTTCTTACATAACACTAACTCATAAATGATTATGAGTACATGTATTATGTATATATGATTATATACACATGTTTATATACATATGTATACATATATACATATTATGTATATATGGTTACACCCTTGCTTGAAAATAGAGCGAATACCATGCCTAGTTGAAAGGATCTCCTAAGTGAACAATCACATTTTGCACATTGCTCTGACCTTGGGAAGCCCCACATGCATTTGATCAATGCCACTAACTGGTGACAAGTAAGGACTAATCACTTGTAATTGTGAGAGCATTTTCATGCTGCCCGTTTCTTACTTAAGAATATACCTCGGAGTTTCCACAGTCCTCAATCTAAACCCCAATGCCTACTCTACTATAGAATGTCTCTCACCTGTACATTTATTTCCTATTTAGTACATTACCTGAAGACTTTAGACAGATTCCACTTTTGTCTTCAGAAGCCTGTAGATAAAACTGTCTCTCTCTTAAGAGTCAAGTCACTTGGTTTCTTAAACACTGAGTCTGAAAAGAATGTAGTCGGCTGATATTCACAAAGAAATATATGAATGAATAAAATACATTACTACTTTTTTTAAAAATAGTATAGCCTGCTAGAACATGTATGCTTAGCCAGAGATAGCCAGTGACAGTGTAAAGTTGGGAAGCATTTAATTACATGCTAACTTTTATACCCCCTTTGCTTTGTTTTTCATGTGTTTGTTGTCCTTGAGTGTAGCACTGTGCCTTAAACAAGAAGTACTAGATATTTACAGTGAGCACTTTTAAACTTCACCAGCAGCACCAAGTAAATAAATATTTCTGAAAATGGCATGTGGTTAGCAGGCTGTCTCTAGCTTAGCATCCTGGACCACCTTTCATGAAGCATCTGGTGGTATCATAGAGGAGGATGCTTTCCCTGCACAGAAGCACATGCTCTTCTCCTTCAAGCCACTCTTCAAAGTTAGGTCCCAGACTACTGCCTGCTGAGCTGTAGAACAACTGTTGCCCTCCTTTGGGGTCACAGGAACCCCAAATGTGAAATCTAATCCCCAATGCCTACTTGGTTGTAGAGGGTCTCTCACCTGTACAATGAATTTAGAGTACACACTCTCTTAACTTGTTTCATGAGATCAAGTTGATTTCTTTTTCTGTCACAGATGTTTTCTTGAAACTCCTTATTGAAACATAATATATTCATGAAAGAACGTGTGCACCTCAATTAGGTCAGTACTCTTTCCAAACCGTTGTCATGTGAACACCGTGCAGAACAGGAAGTAGAGCAGAGCTGTAACTGCTGAAGCCCAGCCCAGCCCCTGTTTTCCCTCCAGGATTTCTCCACTGTCCTGTCTTCTAAGAGACCAATGATTTGTATCAATGAAAGCCATCTGTCACCTGCCTTCCGTAACATTCTACCTCTGAGCTCAGTGTGTGTGTGTGTGTGTGTGCAGCTGTAGATTGTTTTAGCATTCCAGTGTAGGAACGTGTCACACCTTCTGCTGGCAGTGGGCCACTGTGAACCATGTTGCTCAGACATCTTGATCCATGGCTTTTGGTGAATGTATCTCTACAGTTCTGTTGGTTTTTTTATGTGCCAGTTGGTTTCTGGAGAGTTAAAATATATTTGTTCAGGTTTAAGGTCTGCAAACCAGAAGTCTGTTCATCCATGAAATTGTAAGGAGAATTTTGGATGTTGTATCTGAAACTGTCACTTTTATGACATTCTCAAAACTGTGTCCCCCAAATCTTTATCAAAACAGTAATAACTCAAAAACTGATTTTGTTTTTATCAGGGGAATAATAAGCAAAACATGATTTAAAAAATGATAGCATTCAGTTTCTGGGATAATTTGTTCTCTAGAATATTTTTCAATCTAAAGGATTGAGTATTTCAATCTAAAGGAAAGGCAGAGGTTTTACCTTGAAATCAATGGTTCTTATTTCCAGTGCAAAGACATTTGTCTAGGAAGGGAGCAGAGACAGTATCAGTCAGTGTTGTCAGCCAGTAAGCTTGGGCATGCTTTCTCCATCAAGACGAGTAGGACTGGAATTTCGGACATGGAAAGAGGAAAATTTCCCCCTTTCTTTTCATCCCCCCATCAGGTAAACAGTCCCCGGAGGTTTCTCCATGTCATTCCAGTAAATATTTAATGAGCAATCCACATACAGTGCCACGGGGACTCCAAGGTAACAAAGACACGGCTTTAATTTTAAGGGATTCATTTTGCATTCAGCAAAATAAACACATAAATAATTGTGGTGCAAGCATCGAATGTGTGCAGGAACAGGGCTTTGGGAAATGCAAAGGGCTCCCCTGGGCAGACCTGACAGTAGGTGGAGGAAACAGAAAGCCCTGGAAACAAACAAAGAACAGGAATGCACACCCATTTTTCCTGTGGGTTTCTCAACTGTTTCAGCTAGTTCGTCAATTATAAACTTCAAGGCTTCAAGGATGAAAAAAGTTACATGTAAACAGTTAAGTTTCTAAAGCTTCTCAGAGCATTCCATCATGTGCCCCAAATGGACCAATTTTACTCTTAAGAATTTTGTTTCCCAAAGCCACGATTACAACCCAAGTTTAGCATCGTTTACCAGAATAGTTCTCTTTGAATTCTTTTGGGTTAAGCTTAGTGCAGCTCTAGTGACGTTCTAAAATATGCATGAAGTTGACATTTGCACATTTGATGTCAAATTAAGATGACAGAGTATGATGTCATATGTTGTTATACGTAGGGTAGTACTGTATCATATCCTCTGGGATGGGCAGAGTATCCTTTCTGGCAAGGTATTCTTTTGAATGAAGACTTTGACGGGATGTGAGCCAGAGATCATCTTGGAACAGTGTGTCTAGGCAGAAGGAAGAGTGGGAGCGACAGGGAAGGGGTGGGTGGAGAACAGAGAGCAGCCAGGAGCCAGATAAAGTCATTCTATAGAGTTCAGCTTGCACTATGAGTGGGATCACTGGATTCCAGAGTAATGTCATCAGAGCCATGTTTTTTATAGGATGCACTAGCTATAGACTTGAGAGTAACTGGCAATGTGGCAAGGTGGAGACATGCAGACTTCTAAGGCTGACATTACAGTTTCTAGGCAAGAAAGGACTGTGGCCAGGACACAGCACATATTGAAGCTGGCACTGAGCATGTAGCTCGTGAGACCTAAGATCTGAATTTTTACATTTTAATTAATATAAATGCCTATGTAAGACTAGTGACTAATGCACGGAACTATGTAATTCTTGAGCTCTTGAATGCTATCACCATGGTTTTGTTTCTCAGCCAGTGTTTATGTAGTCTTGAGCTGCTGACAGGTTGTACTTAGTAATAATTCATCAGTTTGAAAGACCATTTTCTTATCAACCCTAAAATACTTGTATTTTGGGCCAAGAGAATTCTGACCTTTTCCAGTGTCTTCTACATGACTGCCATTACCGTTAATGTCGTGAAAACATTCTAGTCACGCAGGTCATCCACTATATTTTAGCAGATGTTCCATGGGCTGTGAAAAGAAAAACAAAGCACTAAAATACCAGAAAAACACCATACACTCTCATTTCGAGAGTCTTGTCTCTGTGTACTGCTTTTCTTTGCATTCAAAGTGTGCAGTGAAGTAGAGTTTTGGAAAATTGTTATCACAGAGTCTGTGAAAAGCATCTGAAGGGTTTGCTGCAAATCTGTTTGCTACAGCTATATTGTTCTCCTTTTAAAAGTCAGATAATATACTCATTGCTATTGCTGTATCATTTTTTAAGCCATATTTTACCCCACAGTAGAATCCTGGGTTTTTCAAGAGCACAGAGATAACAGAATATCCCATAATTTCTCATTGGCTTTATCTCTTCTTATATGTGTGCCAAACTCAGGTTAACAACGCTGAATGACTATCAATAAGTGACCATTAAAACAAATCATGCCATTTCTGTGCCATGGCTGCCATACAGCTACAAAAAAACATGCATACAAGTGCAAAACCAGATGAGACAGCCCTTTATGTTCTGGTGTGAAAATTCTTGAAGACTCATTTTCAGTGATAAACACAGGATTGAGGCCAATGTGTATATCATTTGTGTTGGAGAGTAGGGGAGATCATATATATTTCCATATTAGTTTGTGTATGATAATTAAATTAGCATTTCAGCCCAATTAGATTTTCTAAAACATGTTATGCAAATCACTTGCAGCTTTGGAAACATTCTGAACAGGAGCTTGAAGCCTGGCTTCACTGTGGGTAGAGTCTCAATCACATCTTTTCCATATTCACATCACATGCCTAGCATATTTTATTTTATTTTTTTAAGATTTATTTGTTTCCTGTATGCACGCACACCAGAAGAGGGCATCGGATCCCATTACAGATGGTTCACCCACCTGGCTTATTTTTAAATGTTAAATAAATGCTACAACTTTCATTGTCTTACCACACCCAGACTTAAATTTGAAACTATAATGATGCTAGATTTACCATTAATAAGTATCCATCATTAGACATGCCGGACATCGATGTGAACCTCAGTCATGGTCTCTGCTTCCCAAAAGTGCACAGCAAATGACGATTCCCACATTTGAATTTGTTGCTCGGATTGCTCAGAATGAAGCCAGGCCAATGCTTAGATCTGTGAGATGGAAGGAAAGAGGTTTAGGTAGTCTTTCCCAGAACTTAGATTTCCATAAAATTTACCGTTACGAGGGATGAGAAGACATGACTGGTATTTGTGGAATGTTGTGGTTGATTGATAACACGTCTTATCTCCTCTCACTCAAAGGGAATACACCAAGATGCCTTGTATAAGAGAATCTGGGCCAATATGTAAGGAAAAAGAAAACTAAGCAAAATGGCTTCCCCACCCTCTCCTCCCACCCCCACCACAACAGAAACACACACACACACACACTGTTTGGATTTGTAACTCTCCAACTTAGCATTTTATTTCTTGCAGGATAGGCTGCAGGCAGTTCATTCCCTTGGGGTTTGTTTGTCTCAGAAAGCTGACATTTTCTTGCCTTCACTGTGCATGTACATGTGCATTTGCATGTATATGTGTGTTTTTATGTATATACGTGATGGGTGTTCAGAGATGAACACGTGTCATGATGAATGTGTGGAGGCCACGGGACAACTTTGTGGATTCTCTCCCTTACGTGGATTCCTAGGGGCAAATTCAGGTGACCGGGCTTGAAGAGCAAGCACATTTCCTGCCGGGCTGTCTCATCTGCTCTGCATTCGTTCTACAGAGTGCATCTGAAGTGTCCGTGTGCAGGATTTTTAGGTTGCTGCTCTTGTTTGTTTTTCTTTGTTCTGCTTGGTGTTCTGTGAGCTTCCTGGATATGTAGCTTGGTGTCTGTCATTAATTTTTGAGAGAACCTAAGCCATTATTAAGGTATCTATTCTCTTTGTTTTCTTCTTGTGTTATTGTGAGTACATGTGTGTTTTAAATCCCATATGTGCATTGTCTTTGAAATTTCCTCAGCATGCTTAGATATTCCGGGTTTGGACACGGGACTGTGTCTTTTCCTCTTTGCATTTTGGTTGGGAAGGTTTCTGCTGAGCTGTGCACACTATCACTGAATCTTTACCTAGGTGTGTACGTTCTGCTGCTGAGCTCATGGGTGTCTTCCTTTGCAGAACTATTGATCTGTAGAGCTTTGTTTGATTTTTAGCATTTGCATCTCCCTGCCTGCAGAAATTAACTGCCTGTAGTCCTGTCTTGCAGGAAGTAAAATGCTAAGTTTGAGAGTTACAAGTTCAAACAGTTCCTTTGGACTCAACAGTGTGTGTGTGTGTGTGTGTGTGTGTGTGTGTGTGTGTGTGTGATGAGGTGTGGTAGGAGGTGTCAGGGAAGCCATTTTGTTTAGTTATGTTACCCAATGCATTTTTGCATTTTGTATATAATTTCATCAGTGCTCTCAGTAGGATAATATTTCATAGTTAACTTACATTACTAATTTAAACTTCCTGTCTGAACATTCAAAACTCTGTATCACATCTAAATTCCAGTGTTTGGTTTGTGCTTCAAACTTAAGTCTCTCTTGTTCAACATGGCTTCTAGTTTTTATCACTGAAAGCCAGACATGATGGGATCTGTGATGAGAACGGAGGTAAACAGGCTGTTGTAGTAACTGTTCTATTGCTGTGAAGAGACACCATGACTAAGCATATCTTATAAAAGAAAGCATTTAATTGGGGGTTTGCTTACAGTTTCAGAGGCTTAGTCTATTATCATCACTGTGGGGAGCAGACAGTCATGGTACTGGAGCAGTAACTGAAAGCTTTACATCCTGATCCATGGGCAGTAGTCAGAGTGTGTGTGTATGCGTGTGTGTGTGTGTGTGTGTGTGTGAGAGAGAGAGAGAGAGAGAGAGAGAGAGAGAGAGAGAGACAGAGAGACAGAGAGACACAGAGAGAGGCAGAGAGAGACAGAGAGAGACAGAGAGACAGAGAGACAGAGACAGAGAGAACTGGGCCAGTCTGAGCTTTGCGACTCAAACAACACCCCTAGTGATACACACCTCCTCCAACAAGGCCACACCTCCTAATCCTTTCCAAATAACTCCACTCATGGGGGACCAAGCAATCAAACATGTGAGTCCATGGGGCATTCTCATTCAGACCACCTCATAAGAGTCTTTAGCCTAAAGCTTTCTGCTAATCTGTCCAGAAAATGGGTAGAGCTTACTGTTTGCTGTAGTAGAAGAGGTTAGAAGTTGCAAATTTTTCTAGTGCCTTTGTGTGTTTCCTGGTAAGAGCTCCTTAGAAAGAATTAGAATCAGGGTCAGAGCGATATCTCAGATTTAAGAACACTGGCTGCTTTTACAGAGGACTCAAGTTTGGTTTCCCAAACCAAAACATGGCAGCTCACAACCTTCTGTAACCCCAGTTCTAGGGGAATCTAATGCTCTCTTCGGATTTCTAGGGGCACCAGGAACACATGTAATACATAGACATATTTTACATAGATAAATGTACAGGCAAATATTCATACACATAAAATAAGTAAATAAATGAAAGAGTTAATCTTGCTCTTGCCACTGGAATCTCCTGTTTCTATGCTGGCCCTAGAGGAGGTCTGAGAGGGGTGGAAGGATCCTTTTAGTAAGTCTGTGTCCCTGGTCTGTCACCTTCACAACTGTTTTTGTTGTATGTTATACTTTTCTTAAACCTACAGATTCTAGAGTCTAGACTCTTCCTTTTAAAATGTATTTTATTGAGAATTTTACACATGCATGTATTATGCTTCCATCAAATCCACCTCTGAGCCTCCCACTCCTTCTCAACACCCCTTCTACTTTTCTCTTCCAACTCCCTGCCCTTTTCTCTACCCGCTGAGCCCATTCATTGCTGTCCGTGTGTGCAGGGGCAAGACCAACTACTGGACGGGTCAGTTAGCCTCTCTGGGCCTATATTCTTCAACACAACTTGCCTCCCTCCAATCAGTTGCCATTAGGGGTGGGACTTCATGAGCCCCCACAACTGGCTCTTAGCTCCTGCTTCCCCAGCCAGTTAATGTAGGAAGATGGATGCTAAAACCCCTCCTCCACATGGAGTCAGACTCCATGGAGTCTCTCCCTGGGCAGCAGGCCTTTTGGTTCTTCACCACAAAGAGCTTACTGGGGTTAAAATAAGTAAGACACAGAGCTATGGGGCCCAGCCAAGACTGCTGCCCACCACCAGGGGTTTCTAAGCTGGTCCACACTGAGCCTCCAGCAGCTCTACAGAAGTCCTGTTCAAGGCTTCTTATCCCTGGGATGGTTCTGCCACAGGTCAGCTGACCTAAGCCCCCGCTGGAGCACTGTACCTGCAGATCCCGGGCTCCCAGTGTTTACTGGAGCCTCGGTTTTCTGATGAGCCCAAGAGAAGTTGTTTTCATTTTGCTCAGTCTTTCAAGCATCAATCATGTGAAAGCATTTCCCTTTGGGGCAGTTTTGAGCTAGGGAAATCTTAGAGCAGCATTTCTCAACCTGTGGGTCACCCCTTTGGGGCTCACACAGCCCTTTCACGGGAGTCTCCTAAGACCATCGGAAAACATAGATATTTACATTATAATTCACAATAGTAGCAAAATGACAGCTATGAAGTAGCAGTGAGAATAATTTTATGGTTGGAGGTCACCACAGCATGAGGAGCTGTATTAAAGGGTCACAGCATTAGCACCGTTGTGAGCCACTGCCTTACAGGAAGAAAAGCCTCATAGAAGCCAAAGGAGTGTAGAGAAAATGTTTCTGTGATTTCACAGACGGAAAAGCTTAGTTATTTCAGAGTCATGGAATCCGCCCATGAGTCTTAGTCCTGAGTAGCATTTCGTCTGCAGCACTAGAGTGGTGACACTGTGGCAATGACAAGAACGAGGCAGACATTTCAAACACTTAGTTGCATTATTTTGAAATATCAAAACAGGGGACATTAACGCCTAGACGTATGTCATTTTCTGTAAGAAATTGTATGTTCTTTTCTCCCGCTCATCAGAGATAAGAAAAGGGGGATCTGAAAGTCATGTAGCATTTATCTGTGGACTCAGATGCACTTGCTAACTGTTGAACCCATAGAAAGTTCAAGAGCTCATTTACATCAGGCGCTTTCGCCATCCTGATCCCCTTTGCACACCGTAGGCCTTCATTAAGGCTCTGGATACTGTTGGATGTGACTGCCATGACTTTTTTTTTTTTAATTTTTTTTTTATAGCCCTGGATGGCTGGCGTCGGCTCTGAGCTCCGTGTCCCTGTCTAGCTTGTTATTCTTGTCTCTTGGCTTAAGATGTTGTGCCTTGCAAAAACGGTTCTGTGAGCAAACACTTGACTAAAAAGAATCACCCCGCTTTCAAAAGGGTCTGAATATGGTTTTTCGTGAGGCCTATTACAAGGCCTCATCTACCTCATTATATCTGCGTGGGCGTTATTGTGCGCCTTGTAATGGAAGCTGGATTCACACTTTTCATACCCTGATTAGTATTTCTAAATTGGCTCACTTGCCAAAAGGAATATTTTTTTCCTCACTGCTTTCCCCTTTCACTGGTAATAGAAACATAATAAAACACAGTTGAAATAGCACCCCTTCCCTAAAACAAACAAAAACCAATTACGGCTAGTCCTGAGGGAAGTCTTCAGGGGAGACAGCCAAGAAAATGCAGAACGCTTCTGCCCTTATCTGTCCTCGCTGCCTGCCTTTGAGGAGCACATGTTCACACCCTGGTGCGGACTCTTTCATACCCATAGGAATTTCTATCAGTACATGAGAATGTGCTGAAGTGTATGGAATTTAATCAGAGAGGGCCCATTCCTTGTCCAGCCCCTTATGAAGTGTGCATTCTAGCTACAGGTCAAAACAGAGGCCAGCCCTTGGACACAAACCAAGCAATCATTAATGAAGCCCCTGGGCTGTAATGGCTTCCCGTCTGCCTTCCTCTTCTGTACCAGACAAGAAATGTGCCCAGAGGATACAGGACAGCCAGCAGATGGGAGGTCTGGGGAACTGTGGGGTAAGGCTCTGCCCCCGTCCATTCAGATCTTCAGATCCTGTCTGTGTCCTTCCCATGCTCTGTATGGGGTTGGTCTCTGCAGGCATGGTTCCTGGCTTGCTGTCCTCCAGGCTGGTTTTCTTGCTTTGGTTCACACTAATATAACTATACTGCTATTTCTCTCTCCTGTTTAACCTAGTAATTGACATAACAGAATGATTCCCTTATTTCTCTAGCTTCTGAACAGAGGGAGATTGGTTATGGGTAGGTGTTGCCTGCCTCTTGGCAGTGGCTAGACCAGTGGTTTCAGTAGCAGTGGCTATGCCTGAAGGGGTTCTTGAGACCCTCCAAGTTCCAGATCTTCCTTCTTCCTCTGCTCTCTTCCCAAGGGCTTCTTCTGTCAACACAGGGCTTGGCTCAGGTAATCTGTGTGACTTCCCCATCTTCCCCTACCCGTAAAACTATTTCCCAGCAGAGAATTCCCTCTCTCTTGTGGTCTCTGAGTGGTATCTATTGCCCTGCATTGACTTCTGTGATGCTTTTTCTCCGGCATCTTATACCTGAGGAATAGCTCCTCAAGGTAGATATTTCACTCTTATCAAGTTGTGTCTTAGGGTTTCTATTGCTGTGAAGAGACACCATGACCATGGCAACTCTTAATAAGGAAAATATTTAACAGGGGTGGCCTATAATTCAGATGTTTAGTCCATTCTCATCCTTGGGGCATGCAGGCAGCTGTGGTGTTGCAGAGGCAGCTGAGAGATCTGCAGGCAGAAGGAAGAGACAGGGAACCAGAAGGCCTAACGAGCTTCTGAGACCTCAAAGCCCACTCCCATCCCCCACTCATGACACACTTCCGCTAATAAGGCCACACCTCCTAATAGTACCACTCCCTATCGGCCTATTGAGACATTTTTAAATAAACCACCATAAGACTTGTTTTAGAAAGTTAATTATGACTAAGCATTCTGAGTGCTGCCAATGGGTGTGATCTCAGTTAGTAAGTGACTCTTGCTGAAAATTCGTAAGATCAAATCTGATGTCTGGACTAGAAGGGCTTTACCTGGCACGTTGAACCTTTTCCAGTGAATTTCAAAATATAAAACCTTCCAACATGAGAGCCAAGATATTTGATATTTGTAGAAGGGGTGGTGGCGGCGGCAGAGGCTGTGGTGATGGTAACTGGTCTTACGATGTAGACACTAGGGCAGTGGTTCTCAACCTGTGGGTGGAGACCCCGGGGGGTCATTCACATATCAGACATCCTGTCTAGCATATATTTACATTACAATTCATAGCAGTAGCAAAATTGCAGTTATGAAGCAGCATCGAAATAATTGAATGGCTGGGGTCACCACAGTATGAGGAACTATAGTAAGGGAGTGTAGCATCAGGAAGGTTGAGACCCACTGCTCCAGAGTGAGCTGGTACTGGATTGAATGCTTAGCAATCCCAGATAGTAGCACTATGAGCTCAGGGAAGTCCCTCCACGTCTCTAGCCTCAGTTTGCTCAGTGAGAATAAAAATAAAAGTTTAACAAAGTGCTAGCACCAACGAAGAAGCGTGGTAGGCATGCACAAACCCCGGGCGCGCTCTGCGCCAGGTTTTCTTACTTAAACACTTCACAAATATTAATTACCACATTTTGTCTGCCTTTCCTAACTATTCACAAAATACAACTAGAATAAATTTCCTTATTTCTCTATAGCATAACCAAGGGGAAATTTACTTGAAAGGCAAGGGGAAAAAAAAAACTGAAAATAAGTACACAGACCTAAAAGCAAAGTAATCACACTGGTCCCTGAACAGGACTTGGTCAGGGATGGTTTCCCAGTGACTCTTTTGGCCTGTCTCAATTCTTCCTGTATCAACACTGACTGCCAGGCACTGGCACTTTCTCAGACTTCCTACGTGAATGTGGTATTCCCTTCAAAATCAAAGTCCTCCTCTCTGAAGAGGATATGCTCCCTGATTCCCCTTGCATGTGTCTGTCACAGGCTTTATTTAAATAAAGGGGCATCCCCTCCTTGAAGCAACTGTTCATGGTGATGCTCCAAACCCAACATTTCTGAGGTGGAGAAGGTTGGAGACAGTTGGAGAAAGTTGCTTTTCAACAGATGAAACAGACTCCTGGCCCTGGAGCTGGTACTAGGATTGTCTAGCTGAACGAACCTTGTGAACATTTTGTGCCTTTAGAAGTCACAAATCAAAGGAACGTTTTGGTTGAAGCTTGATGCTTCCCCCTGCTTTAGCAATTCTTCTTTTCAAGGTTCCAAGAAACCAAAAAAGAAAAGAAAAAAGTCATTGAACAAATAAACTAAACTGAGAACCACTTTGTACATTTTGTTACAATATAGTAGGGGTAAATAAAAATGTATATAATCGTTAAATAGTTTCATAAAAAACAAACAAGCAAAAAACATTTAGCAGCCATTGTCAGTTCGGGCCTCCTCTTGGCTTCCAGATTAGCCAGCCTCTCAGAAACAAAACTGGGGGGCTGGAGTGTCAGCTTTTCATAAGTCAGTTTCCATGGGTGGGGTCTGCCTGATGCCAGTCTCGTGAAGAAAAATGTTGCAATGGGTGAGTTCAAAGAGACTATGTCCATTCTAAACAAATCTGCCTCTTGTTTTTAAAATTTAGTGTTCAAAGTGACAGCCTGCCTGAAATGTGCTGTTGGTAAAGGCAAATATAATGTTTATTTGTGTGTATTCACATTGAGGTTTAATGTGTTTCTTAAAACTAATGCTGGCTGTCCTCTCCCTCAGTGCTTACATACTTTAAATGAGGAGAGATAAACCATCAGTGTATTCTCACTGTCAATAACTCCTATTTGCAAAACGCAGGGAGGTGTTGATATAAAGTGTTACAATCTCTGTGTCAGTGTTTGGGGACTACTATAACAAATCACCACTCACTGAGTGGACCCAGACAATCAAATCTACAAGCCCACAGTGCTGGAGGCTAGACCTCCAGAGTGAGCCTCTGGGTTAAAATGGAGGTGTTGGCAAAACTGGAATGCTTTGGGAGGCTCAAGGCTCGCTCTCTCCCTCCCTCCCTCCCTTACCCCCCCCCGCCCTCCCGCCGAAG